CTTTTTTGTTTGTTTGTTGTTGTTGTTTCTTTGTTTTTTATTGTTGTGCTCAGGTATACGAGTTTTGCTTCTGTTTTGCTCTTGCTATCCAATTATTTTGAATCATTTTATGTGCTTATCACAGAAGACTTGAAAACACCAAAGAAACACTCACCGTTGCCATTTCATGTCATGCACTTTTCCATTCATTTTCCCCTAATATTCATACACACCCACACCCACACACACACATACACATACACTTACACCAACCGAGAATATAATCGTCTACCAACAAAATATAGCAGTTATTTCAGAATTATAAATCTCTAATTCACTTTCACTTTAATATAATCATATAGAGTATTAGTGTTATAGTTTTGAAACCCTTTGATTTTATACATATAATATTTGAATATGATTCAGGCAATAAATAAACTAGATACTATAAGATAGCGAACTTTCTTTCAACTTTGTTTTAAGATTTTCATAATTTATAATGATAGTCCATCATTAAAGTATATGAGATTGAAATATCTGAATTTCATATTCCATTCGAAAGATTGCTGGTCTCATTATAATAAATAAAGTCTTTAAGGAGTGTACAGAAGACTGTATATGTATGCATATAGCCGTGACTATCTTTCTATCTATATATCTATAAAGTAGACGATCTGACAGTCAGAGAGACCTTAAGACTTAGAGACTTTAATTAGAACCAGTTTATTTAATTTGATCGATATCATTAAAGTCGCATGATTAGAGTTCTCAGTGGTTGGTTGGTGGCCAACTTTATTTTCACCATACACACACTTTTCTTGTATCATTTCATATGTTCTATCCTCACACACACACACCCACACACACATACGCACACAACTACACCAATCCCTCCCCCCGCACCCTACCCAACTCCCTCCCCTCGAAAAATGTCACCTCATTAGTGCGCCACATTCTCAATTCTTCTGTGAAAGCACGGGCCCCCGCAATTTGCTTGTGGACCAGCACAACTACAATGACTGATGTGGCAGTGGTTCCGGTTCTAGGTTATCGCCGCTGACGACTCCGCCGTGCGAGAGATCGCCCCATATGACGCTGAGCCTGCAGGAGATACTCATTGTGGGCTCGGCATGCGAGCAGGCCAAGTTCTCCGAGCTCACAATGGACATGTTTAGGTGAGTTCCCCATCTACATAAATATACATATTTGATTTGTATTAATCACCATCTTGATCATCGTCATCATCAGAATGCTGCAAACGCTGGAACGCGAGCCGACGGAGTCGGCAACGAATCCGCTGAGCATGGCGCATGGTTTGCATGGACACGATGCGAGTCCGGCAGCCAGTCGGATACCACCATATGGTGTGCCGGGCTCCAAGGGCTATTTGGAGAACGGTCGTAACTTTCGAGACAATCCACACAAATATCTACTGTACAAGCCTTCGATCAGCCAACTGATGGTGTTTCTGGCCAGCGGCACCAAGGAACTGCCAATCGGTGGTGCTCTACTCCTGTACATGTCGGCCGATGGCTGTTTCTCCACCACCAAACATCCTGAGGACTGTAAGTGTTACAAGAATTTGATTGCATTGATTGTCAATTGTAGCAATTCAATCTTCCATTGCAGATGGCTATGAGCTGGGCGGCTTGGGCACCAGTGTGAAGCGGGACAGCGTCGATGGCGGTGGCTTGTCGTGTCGGGGCAAATCGTATAAGGAGAATCACTGCCTATATCCGGGCGATCTGTATCCGTTCACGCGTCGTCCGCTCTTCATCATCATCGATTCGGATAATTCGTTTGTCTTTCAGCACATACCCCGCTATTTTGGCCAGCCACTGGTCGTTCTAATGTCGCCGCAAGATGTGCCGCCCGCTTTTCAAGGTAAGATTGGAAATGTTGAATGCTTTCCTCTTGTGGCTTTTGATTTGGTTAATCAAAGACGATGGGATTAAGATAAATGGTCTTGCGTTCAAATTATTCCAAAGCCATAACTTTGATAAAAAAGGTCTGAGTTTGAAAAACACACTGATTGCTCTATATACATATATATATTCCAGCTGATGTGCAGCATCATGGCTCGCTGTTTACATTGTTCCTGCATTCCCCGCTCACGGCGCTCTGCTACATCTGCAATGTGGGAGATGTGCCCATTCATCACTGGGAACGCTGTCAGACGTATGTGGATCGTTTCATAACGGAAGCGTCGCGTCTGGTTACCCGTTGTCGTATCGATGAGATCGAGCAGGGCATTGGATTTATAGGTTAGTCATCGATACAAACATATATTTAACGAGTGTATGCTAATTTAAATTGAACAAATTTTAATGCTGTATTTATTCGATTGCAGACTCGTCATATGTTCAGTTCTTTGGCGACGACTTTCTGCGCACACTCATCTTACGTTTTGTGTTCTGTGATGTGGTTCTGCGTTTGCATCGCGGTTTCCGGGGACGGCATATGCGACCGCGTTGCGAGCCACAGCTGCCGGCGAATGAGCTGCTCGAGCATCCCTCGCTGTCGCACATCATTTTCCAGCTGGCATCGGCGTTGGATGTGCGCGGGCATTTCTCGGAGGGACCCGAGTGCGACTGATGACTCTTATTGGGTGTAGTCTTAGTGGTAGTGCTAGTCGTAATTATCTATATGATGAGGCAGCAGCTTATCCAGCTTTTAACCCTCTACTGCCTCGATAGACAGTTTTCGTTGTTGCATTTTGTGTATAATACTTTAACGCTAGATTGGAGCTGGTCTATATAGCTACAAACTGATTCATAATGATCCATAATGTTTTTTGTCGCTAATTGTCGAAATTGCATATTCAATTTTTATAACATACATACAGACAAGCTAATATTAACGTATAACTATAAATACATATATTATACGCGATATACATATATAATAATAATACTAATATTAATATTAACAATAATCAAGTAGCTAGTTTTCTTATATAGTGCGTCGCGCAATGGAAAGGTCCAATGTTAGTTGCTTAGCATATACATAATAATAATAATAATAATACTAATAATAATAATATTACAAATAATACAAAATATACACGATTAACAACTAACGCAGAGAAAACAGAAAACCGAAGAAGAAAACAAGATAAAACACTAACAAAACGATAACTGCCAAAAATGAAGAAGATGTTAAAGAAAAATAAATCAAATTTAGTTCAACAGCAATTTTAACAAAATTGAAAAACCTTTTTACGAATGAAATTAGAGCAGAACAAGAATATATAAAAAACGAAATGAATATAAAACATTTTCATACGCAGCGATAAACGTTTAGCTTTTATACAAGTGGAGAATAAAGAAATAAAATTGTAACTTTAAATCTATATAAAACACGACACACTATATAAGAAATGCGTTTTTTATTGTACACAACGCTTACAACAACAAGAACAACAACAAATAATAATAATAATGATAAAAATATTGTACGTATTGTAATATTGCATATAGGTATTATTATGATTACAAGATGACTGAAAGTTACTGTTTCAAAAAGCAAAAAATTTAGCAAAAATAATAATTACTTATACACATATATATCTATATATATGTATACATATTTATGTATATTTATATATATATATATATGTGTGTATATGTATACATACATATATACATAACAAAAAGATAGTTAAGCAAACCAAAACAAAAAATCATAAATATATACAAAATATATTTTGCGTATGTTAAACAAATTAAATTTAAAACAATCCCAGCAAAAAAGAAAACAAAACAAAAAGAACATTTTATACGACAACCTAAATAAAATCTATACATGAAATACAAATACCAAATACGAATCATGTTTCGGCATTCACAACAATCACATGGAGAATTCCCAATATCATATCGCAGTGTTCCAAATAAAAAAAAAACATACGAGATTTTTGGTTTTAAAATATATCGGAAAATGGCTCGATAATAATAACTGATAAGACGACACTTAATATGAATTCATAGGCAAATGATAAACGCAAAACGATATTTCATATATATGGATAATATAAACTAGTTAAACGCATACTTAATATACATATATATATATGTATATGTGTATATATATATATATATATATATATATATATATATATATATATATTTGACAGGCCCGCAAAACAAATCAAATTACTTTCAAGTTAAAAACTTTTTTGCATTTTATAAAAGCAAAAGCAAAGAGCAATGTAAGCTAAAAGTAGCTCTACAATGAAAAAATTTCCAAAATCTCAAGCAGTTCTTATCTAAACAATAAAAAGCCTCAAATTTATTTTTCAAATGTTCTTTAATACTCTTTTTTATTATCAACCAATTGTATAGATATTTTAACAAAAAAAAAAAGAAACAAATTTGTTTAAATCTTGTGTACATACATAAATATGTAATTCTAAACGAAACGAACGAAACGAATCAAGACAAAAAAAACTTGAAAACTGAAAAATGAAAAAATGCTCTTGTGTATGATGATGAGGAGAATAATGGAAAAGTATTGTAATCACATTATTTATTATAATTTCGATTAGATTTTGTACATTTGAAAATTGCATTTACATAAACATAACAACTGCAAAAAATAATATACAAATTAATTCATGATTAATCAGCAACATTAGCCACACGTAAGCGATACAACAACAACAACAACAAATCCCACAACATTATCATAAGCGAATTGTTTAAACACACTATCAAAGCCATAAAAACAACAACAAAAAAAACGAAAAAACGAACGATAAACAAATTTAGCAAAGCCACAAAAAAATGACAGTATGGGAAAAATGAGAAGTGTATGGAGTTTGTATGAGTAATAAGAATAAAGCACATGTTTGAAAAGAAAACCATCATCGACAATTGCCTCTATTTATTGAAGATCTTCCAATTGTTCCTCGACATAATTAACACCCAGATAAACTTCAACAAAACCCCAATTCACTTAATAATTATTTTGAAGCCTACAAGAAATTTGGATATTTACCTTTTGGGATCAAAGATGTTTTCTTTTGAGATTGCAGATATTTTTATTTTGCCACAAAAGAAATATTATAGTTTTCTTTTCGTATACTTCAGATATATACTCTAGTGAGATTAACCTAATTATATTCAGATCCCTTACAGGCGACCCGTGTGTTTCTCGATCCAATCGGTAAAGTTGGAAACGCGTGTATATACATCGGGCAGTGGGATTTCGCACTTGGCATCGTAGCCATGTGAGACTATACCGACTACAGTTAGCGAGCCATCGTTGAGTACCAAAGGACCACCAGAGTCGCCACGACAGGGCAGTCCAGCCTTGGAATCGATGCACAAGAAGGAGTCCAGCATTAGTTTGCGCGCGACTTTCAGAAACGTATTCCACTTACGCTCGCATGCCGTATTGGATATGATGCGGACATGGACATATTGCAAGACATTGGTGAGTTTTCCCCTCGCGGTCAGCCCCCAACCGGAGGTGACTCCCGCACGACCAATGTAGCTGTTGTATACCTTCGGATTGGGTAACTTGGCGGCCTTGACATATGCATTCAGCCGAAGATCGTTGGGTAGCCTGATGAGTCCTATGTCATTGGCCACAGTGTTGCGATCAAACAGATGGTGCACAATGGTATCCTCCTCCTTAACCACCATCTTTATGAAGCCAGGCTCGCTTTTATTTGCCCTATTCACAGCGCCCGCAGTAACAGTTACTTTGACACTGCGAAACGAAATTTTAAAGATATATATCATATATTATATAGTTCAACTGACAGATCCGTGTCTGGCTCCTGCAGACAGTGGGCGGCTGTAAGTATCCAACGCGGTGAGATAATGGTGCCCCCACACAAACTGGGCGCATCCGGCGAGTTGCGAAAATAGCAGTGTAAGGACACCTGGTAGGGAAACTGCTTGGGCTTCGAGGCGGATCCACTGACAATCCTTAAATCTCCCTGACTGAGTATTAGACTCGGACTCAGCAGCAAACAGAATAATATTACTAACAGCCCCATTTGGTTGACTTAATTGTGGAGTTGCAATGAATACCTTCGCCTTATATAGGGCTTCAATAATCGCTCCAGCTTATGGCTCCAAGGTTTCGTGCACTTCTCTTATCATTGTTTAGGTAATAAACTACATTTTTAACGTGCCTGCAATTTACTTTTCTCACTAATATTTATGGATATCATATTTTTTACCAGTATATGTATTTACTATAGTAAAACGCTCTCTTTTGTTGATATAAAACCAGAATTTGTATTCCAAATTGAAGTACATAACTCTTATATAACCTCTTAGAGGGGGCCCGTGTGTTCCTCAATCCAATCAACGAAGTAGGAGACACGTGTAAATATATCGGGCATTCGTATTCGGCAGGCGGGATCGAAGCCGTGTGAGAATACTCCGATTAGGGTTCGGTTTGAGCCTTCTAATATTAGAGGACCACCAGAGTCGCCACGACATGGCCCTGAATGCCTGAAACTGATGCACATGAAGGTGTCCAGTATTGTTTTGCGCATTTGGCTTTGCCAAATAAGCCTGCATCTGATATTGTGTAGTATGCCGGCATGGCCATATTGCAACATATTTGTGGGTCGACCACTGCCTGTCAAGCCCCAACCGGACATGATGCCGACGCGACCACTAAACCAATCATAGACATCATAAACCATCTGTTTGGACAAATAGGCGGCCTTGACATAAGCATTTAGCGTAAGATCATTGGGCAGCTTGATCAGTCCCATATCATTTTCCAACGTCTTGGGATTAAATTGATCATGCGGAATGGTATCCTCTTTGTTGACCACCATCTCTACGAAGCCCGGTTCCTCTCTATTTGTCTTATTCACAACGCCCACAGTGACAATCACCTTAACACTGCAAACAGAAGAGTTTGATATACGTTATATATATATAAATAATATAAGTTAAACTGACAGGTCGATTTTTGGTTGTTGCAGACAGTGGGCGGCTGTCAATATCCAACGCGGCGAGATGATGGTGCCGCCATGCCAATGGGGCTTATCATTTGAGTTGTCAAAATAGCACTTTAAAGATGCCTGGTAGGGCAACTGCTTCGGTTTTGCCTGGAAGCCTCTGACTACCGCTACTATCAGACTCGGAGTCTGCAGCAAACAGAGTGTGATTACAAACAGCCTCATTTGATTCACTTGAATATGGAGTTGCAATAAATAACTGCGTCTTATATAGGGCTAGAATAATAGCTACAATTTATGGCTCTAAAAATAGGCAGGCACATCGATGACAAATTGAGTGCATGACAAATCTGATCGATTGGATACATATCTCTCTCGTAGATCCGAACGCAACACGTCGAATACTTTGAAGGCTTCGTGTTTTAAGCAGCAAACACAGATCATTATTTCACTGGTCTTCGCTGCGATATGTGGAATAGACGGAAGGAATCCACTTTCAAGTGTTCAAGTGTTCTTTAAGCTGACACTAACGTTGTTCATCAAATCTAGTTTTGTATTAAACAATATTTTTTACGTTGCTCGCAATTTATTAGTAATCAAAACAGCTTTGGTACTCAATACAAAGGATTAGTGGCATACATGGCATTATTTTTGGAGTTGTGCATGAGTATATTATATATATTTAACGCTCTTCTTGCTCAGTGCTGCTTACCAAACTTATAGATAACTTCGTGATGATACTTTTCGCCCGGTCGCAGAATGCTTGTGGGGAAATTCTCATGATTCACGGAGTCAGGAAACTTTTGCGTCTCCAGACAGAATGCGCCATGTTTAATGTAAGCAGCACCCGCTTTGCCTGCCAGCGGTGTCTCACGCTTCCCCTCCTTGTCGGGCAAGAAGTTGGACGTATAGAACTGGACGCCAGGCTGATTGCTGGCAATCTCCAGCCAGCGACCGCTTGGCGGATGTGTAATCCGGGCAATGTTCGCAATGCTTGCGGGCGGAGTGAATTTTACACAGAAATTGTCATCGTATCCAAGAGCTGGCTGCAATTCCTTGAGCCGATCACCCAAGTTGCTGGCTACACGCAAATCAAATTTGCCTCCATCTACGGGCAGAATTTTGCCGGTGGGTATTGAATTTGCATCCGTTTCGGTAATGCCATAGGCATTAATTTGAATCGTGTGCTCGTAGATTCCATTTGGGCCCGCCTTGTGCCCGGCCAGATTAAAGTACGAGTGATTGGTGAGATTGACGGGCGTTGGTTTTGAGGTCACAGCATCCATGCGGACATGCAGGCAATTGTCCTCAGTAAGGATGAACGTGGCTGTCGCTCGCACCTCACCCGGATAGCCTTCGTGACCGTCGGGATTGGTGTGCGACATTTTGACACCATTTGGCAGCAGTTCGACCACGTCCCAGTGTGCCTTATCAAAGCCAATAAAGCCGCCATGCAGCTGAAACTCTCCTCGATTGCGGGAGACTTCAATTGTTTTGCCATCCAGGACAAATCTGCCATTTGCGATGCGATTGCAAACCCTGCCCACCGTTGCACCCATATACGGATTCTGTTCGCTGGCGTAGCCCGCCAGATTATCAAATCCCAGCGTCACATCCTCCACTTGACCTTGAGCATCTGGAACTTTAATGCTGCTGATTGTTGCGCCTCGCGTCAATATTTGAACGGACATTTGCTCATCGTTGCTCAGCGTGAAGCGTCGTATTTCCTCCGTTTGCTTGGTGAATGGATTCACTGCCCCGCTGGCGAAAGTATCTTCCGTGACCTTTACCATGTTGAATTTGGATCTCTCACTGAATTATTTTATTGGGCTCACGTTCTTAAATAGTGCAACTGGCGAAAACCGCAAACCCTGCTGATAACAGAACAATGTTTACAGAAAATATCTTATCAGTGATGCTTACCACAAATATACACTCCAAACCCTTGTCAATTGTGTGCAACTATCATACATATGTTTAACAAGCATATTCAAGGCTTATAGCTATATTTATAGATATCTGTTTTAACAAAACAAAACAAAAAAATGCAATGAAAAATATTTATATTTATTAATCGATAGCTTCTGTTAAGCAAACGATAGCTACATTTAACAGCTGGACTTGTTGCGCATGCCAATAGTCGATTAATGTTAGCAAGCAGTTGTGCTCTGTTATGTTGTCGCACACAAGGCGGTGAATCTGAGCCACTGTTAAGTTGTGCTCGCTCCACATAACATCTGAAGACATACAGCTGAACAGTGAAAGTTGCCGGTCTGTGTCTATTTGTACTGAACTAGATGAACGCAACTGTGCAGACTGGTTCGTTCATTGAGCTCAGTGAATCGCTCAGACGAACTAAACGCGAACAATTTGATACAACTCTATTTGTTTATAAAATCAAAATGGGATTGACGTGGCAGCGGTTGAGATTTAATGCATTTTTGAGCCTTTCGCTAATATCTCTTTGTGTGCTCATCAGGACAAATAACGCACAAGAAGCACAACAGCCATGGTACGAGAATTTACCAGCAGTAGCCATGGATTATAAGGTAAAAACATGAAATGTGTGAAAAATACAAATACAAATAAACAACAACAATATTGGAGTGGCACACGTTTACGTTTCTTTTGTTATTGTTGTAAAAAAAACAGGTGCACATTGACGCCGGCAAGGAGGACTGCTATCATCAATATGTGCAGGCAGGTGCCACTTTCTACGTATCCTTCAGTGTAAGTCTGCGAATTTTAAAAACCGCCCCCGGAATATATTTTTTAAAAACCTTATTTATGCTCCTTATGCTCCTTTGGCTAGGTGGTGCGTGGTGGCGATGGAATGGCTGGCTTTGCCGTACGCAATCCGGCTGGCGATGTTGTGAAACCATATCAATGGCAGGCTACTGCTGACTACACAGATCAGGTCTCGCCGGGCGGTTATTATTCCGTTTGCATTGACAATCAGTTCTCGCGATTTGCTAGCAAATTGGTTAATATTTATATCACGGTGGTCAAATATGATGCGTGGGACAAATATGCCAAGGAGATTGAGGAGCTGCAGCTGAATATGCAGAATTTCACAGCCACCATTGGCACCGTGGAGCGCAATATCAACGATATGCTTGGGTATCAGGCTCACAGCAGGCATCGCGAATCGAGAGATTTTGCCCTGCTTCAGGATAACAATTCCTATATACAATTGTTCTCCCTTAGCCAAATTGGCATCATTCTGATCACATGCTCCATACAGGTGGGCGAGGCTTAAACTAGCCTATACTATTTGAAACTCTTCATTTCTTAATAATAACCTCTCTCCGTTTGGCAGGTATATTTTGTGCGTAAACTATTTGAAGTCAAGTCGAGCAGCAGGGGCCGTATTTAGAGTTGCTTGAGGAGCCCCCTAGGATTTGTGGCATTGGTTGCACAATAAGCTGTAAAAAAAACAAAAAACAAAACACTGTAAAACCTTCCCCTCTTTTTTTATACTCACAAAAACACAAGCTCATCATGAAACATCTTTATACTTTAATGTTGTAATTAATTTAATATTGGCAAACAGAACAAGTTCGAAAACTTACCAGACTACTACTGCTAATATATATATATTTTTGTCATTTGTATCATATATACAACTTAGGCGATAAAATGAAAATGTGTGAGTTTTATTTTAAATTAAACTAAAGTTTTATATTTTATATAAATGTATATGTATGTGTGTTTTGTATGTGTGTGTGTGTGTTGTTCCTTTTGTGAAAGCTTTCGGGTTTGCGTCTAGGCTAAGCCCTTTTCTGTTTGCCCTTTTTAGCTTTTGATTAAATTGGAATTGTTTTAATGGTATTTTGGCGATTTTTAACCATATCTACTATCAGTGTTGGGTGCTGATAATCTGGGCGCATCTTGCGGGGAAAAGATGCCTTCGCCTGTATCGCTGCCTGGTCTCAGAACACCCTCACTGCAAACAGAGTTTTGTATACATTTAGTATTATTATATATTAATTTTAAAAAATATGAATTTCATTGTTTACCCAAAAGAATTGCCTCCAAAGCGTCCAACGTTGTTCGTCTGATAATAATTAGTATTATAGCCATAGCGTTGGGCATTCAACACGTAAACAAACCCAAAGGTGCACATCAGAAATACACAAATATTTATGAGCTGCATTTCTAACAATTTATACTTTCAAGTCTTTGAAGAACACAACTAGCTACCGAATTGGTCGAGGTGCTATCACGTTATGGAGTTTTAATTAAAGTGAGTGGCAGCTATTTATACCAGAGACTGGATTTCGACCGGTCTATTTACATATCTGGCAATCAGAACTAGTTTCAAATAATGACGATGTTTATTAAAAAGCTTTTATTAATGGTCTTATGACATTTTAATGACATACATGAATTCATTTTGGTATATAAAGTACAGGAATTCAACGCATAGGTTAAAGTAAAACTACTTCATCTTGTCTAATTAAACGATTCATGTATTTGCTGAGCTTGGCATCCCACTTTCGCAAACCACTCATTTAAGTGTAAATGTCATTTTTACATCATCTGGACCCAGTGTTCAGAGCCTCATTGGAATGATGCTGAGGATCCAAGGTGATTTTTTAACAAAACAATAAATCTGTCACTTATCTGGAACAAAATTCACAATTGCCTGCAAAATATATGAATATGTATAGAGATATATATAGATATATGTTTTATGTTTTGCAGAATGCGTCATGTTTCTTAATTATCCCAAAAGCGATTTTAAAAAAGCACCAAATCAAAGATGATTATTCACTTATTTAGTATTCACTGCGGAATAATCTGTTACCAGTGATGCAGCTGATAACAGGTGGTTAAAATCATGAGAGATGATTAGTATCATTGATCGATTAATATGTATTGCAGACTCCAAAATTTAAAGAGTATTTATACAAAATGTCAAGTGTCAGACCAACAGACAAGCAAACAGCAAAATATACTCTTCTACTAGTTGTTTATAGTTGTTCAAAGATAAGCCAACATTATCTACAAGACAAACTTGTTATTGGGCACATTAAGTGGCGCTAAAGTCTGAAAGATTCTAGCTTTTATAGTCTGAGATAGGGTTGTTCAAACAGATTAAGAATATACGTACTTTATGTGGTCATATATATAAAAATGATTACATACTTTTGTACAACTTCCGTATACCAATTTGCCATTTTAAATGGGTAAAACTAAGTTTCCAGTTTTGGCCACAATAAAAATTTGAGTTAAGCTTTGTGAGAACAGTAATAAATCTTTTGTTTAATATAATATATTATATTTAATGTTCATAATAATAGCAGCCAAAATTGAGCTGCAGTTTGAAAACTTGTTTACTTTAAAAATCATTCTTAAGCTGTGACAAAAAGATTTCGTTCCTAAAGTTTCAGTTCTTTTAATTACATTTGTTCTTCATGTATATTCATCAACTTTTTACTGTTCAACACACCACACACACTCTGTCAGTTACACACACACACACACACTCGCATGTTAATTATATCCTTTATAAAAATTAAAAAGATATTATGTGTGCGCTTATCTCTCGCCAAGGCGATTTCTTAGCTACCCATTTTATGTGGCAAAGGCTGCCTTAAAGTAGGCAGAGCGTAGCCGCAAATGATGCGAGTTGGCTTCAAACTAAGCGCCTAATGGCCCGCACACACACACACACACACAGGGCCACACACAGGGCCACACACAGATAAGCGACTCTGTATGTGTGTGCTTGGCTCTTTAACTGTTTTAAACGCCATTGTTAAAATATTGCTCATACGCACTTCCGCCCAAAATGGGGTCTTTTTGCTTGGACTAATGATGCCACACACACACACTCACACACACGCTCACACATCCAGCCACACAGTGCTGCCCAAGAACGTAGAGCAAGCAGACAGCCAGTGTGACAGTCTGATGATACGAGATAGCTCCGCCCTCAATGCCAGATAAATGAATGAGCCCAACACACACAGAGGAAGGAGCGCGCTTGCGCACAAGGGTTGCTTATTTTTTTGTATATGGGGGTTGGCGGTGGGGAGCTGCTGCATCCTTGTGATATGCCCGGCTGATTACAGCGCCAAAATGTGGGAGGAGTATTGCTGGTGCTGGTGGTGCTGCTGCTGCTGCTGCTGCTGCTCGTCGCCATCTTGAGAGCGCGCGCAGCAGATGATTTGTGGTGCGGACTAAAGGACTAAGGGACTAGGCAGCTGGCTGCAGGACATACACATTAACTTGGAGTGCGCGTTACCGTTACGACACGTCGCGGAGCAGCAGCAGCTATAATAACGGCGCTATTGCGGTTAAGATTCGTCGGCCACACACGTTGACACCCAGCCACAGGAAACAGCCGCTGACCAAACTGGGCCAGCCAGCGGGGCAACTGAGGCGCAACGCAACAAAAAATAAATTAAATATAAAAAAAACAAAACTTGGACAAATACGCTTGTTGCTTGCCAAATGGCAAAGTAGGCGTGCCACACATCACACATACAAACACACACACACACACACACAGAGCGTGTGTGTTTTTGTTGTGTGCGGAAATTATTGAAATTTTTACTTTTGATTTTGTTTGGCGCGCAACGTGAACATGTTCAAAGGACGCGTTGTCCTTGCTGCCACCGTCGGCGTTTCGTTTGCCACTGACAAATTTACTTGCATATCCGTTGCAACAACAACAATTGCAACAGCAACAGCAACAAACTAAACAAACAATTTGCATCGCGCGTAGTCGTCGTGGTTGCCTCAACGGGCCCCTCAACCCCACCTTCACTTGCCGCACATCCGACGCCATTTTGAACAATAATTTCATTTCCGGTTCGCCAATTGCAACGGCAAAAACAAAAAACAAAAAATAAAGCACAATATGCCGTAAAAGCAACGCACTTGAGAAATAGTTATTATTAAGTGATGAGTGTGTGTCGAGTGCAACTAGCAGCAAAAAGATATTCAAAGTGAGATTGTTTTAAGTTAAGTTGAACTTGACACTTTTTGGATAAGCTTAAACACAGAAACCAGCATAATCCTGAGGTGAGCTAAAAAGCATCTAACAACGCAACACTATTAATGAAATCTTATACTGAAGACTAATTATTATTTATACAACATGGCTTATTAGTTAACAATTCTTTTATATAAATTTAATTAGTCGACAAACATTTGCCAAAAAATCGAAGAGACGCCTTGAGAGTTTACTTCAATAAAAATCATATCTGCTTAGTTATTTTAGGCTTCAGTTATAATAAAATCGAAAGTTCAATTCCAGATTTACATTTGTTTATGTATATATAAAGTATATATTGATACCAATATAATACCATTGTATTTGAAAATCGGTTCAGTTTCGACAAAGTTATGGGTCTGGAAAATCTCGACTAGCAGCACTTCTTGAGGATTTAATGTTTAGCATGTATTTCGAGACGGAAGCGCGTTTTCAACTTTAAATGTAGTTTGAAACTAGAGGTCAAGCCATGTTCCAAAAGGTTTGGTTTTTGCAAATCGGATCAGTTTTGACAAAGTTATGGTCACAGGTACTAAGGTGGCATAAAAGAAACATATCCGATCTCATGAAGTATATATATATATAGTAAAAACTTATGTGCAAAACTTATAACTTAAGTTCTAACATCGATCTTGCTTAGCTAGCATTCCAGGAGTACTTTTGTGTCAAAAATTGCAAATTTAAATGCAGTACGCCAAATATATATTTTCAATTCCTCCAATAGCTATAACCCAAATATAGACAGTAATCTTTATGTAAGCACAAGATTAGCTCTAGATTAGTTACCCACTCAAATATTAAGGTACAAAATAGAAAGAACGATTTCTGCAACCGCCGTTTTTTGGTGCTGGTATCAAAATCACATCAGCAGATATCATAAATTCAACTGCGTGTGAAATGGCCACGCCCCCTTCCCCGAAGAGAAGCTGATAGGTAAATCTTACAAACCATTAAAGTGACGTGGCGCGTGTGTCCCCTCATCCACCACCTCATCCTCATCGTCAGCGTCAGCATCATGCTCATCCTGTTAATTAAAAGCTCTGCTCGGGCATTATGTCATTAGCCAGTTAGCCGAGAACTACAAGTATATATATGCATAATATTGGCAGCAGCACACTTTGCCAATCTTGTTTTTTCTTTTTATTATATTTTATGTGTGTACGCATATTCAACAGAGGCAGAGGCAGAGGCACGCGTCGCACTCTGAGGCAGGCATAGTCGAAGCCGAAGCATCCTGGCACATCCTGGCGCGTATTTCCGGTGTGCGCGCGCTCAACTCAAATGCGATAGCTTCAAAATGGCTGCTTCGGCTTGTGTCCTGGTGTCCTTATGTCCTTCTGCCTGCCAGCCGGTTTGGTCCACGCTCGCAATTTGCGTGCAACTTTAACACAATGATAAATAATAATAAATAAGGCGTGTGCAGGCCGTTTGTAATGTCAGTCCATCTCATCATAATGCTCTCTCTCTCTCTTTCTCTCTCTCTCTCTCTCTCTCTGTCTCTCTAGATGCAACTCGACTGATAAGCAAATGTAGCTCTTGTTGCGATTGTTGTTGCTGCTGCGATATCAAGTTTTAAAGCTGCTAGAAAGTGCGTCAGCAATTTAATGCTACACTCAGCAACATCATTTAGCATATGGCAAAAGAAAAAAACAATTGCTTTCTACGAACTTGTTTTGGGAGGCAAGAGGTTTGCCCTTTTCTAGTGACAAGTATCATATTAAAGTGTATTACAATTAAGCGGCTATTCTTTCTAGCTTGAAATGAAAATAACTAGAAACAAATACTATTGCAGACTGAAGCAAAGCTGTTGCTATAAAAACTATGGAAACTATATGATTTAATCATCTGATGTTTATGATTTTGTGTTAAAATATAAGCAGCACATTTAAAAGCATAACTGCTAAGTTTGATTAGGATAACTTGGTAAGCAACAAAGTTTCTCATACAAAGACTCATCTAATGAACAATTGATCCTATGGCAGCTATATGATATAGTGATTTGATTTGTATCGCTGGCATGGAAACATGGCTACAAAAATTCAGCTAGTTCTGTTCTATGCTGATCAGGAATATATATATATATATAACAGGTCTTCCTCAATCTTAAAGGTTAAATACAAAAGACGAAAATCGATTTTCAACACTTATAAAACAAGCTCTCCCTGATAAATTAAGAACTATAACCTTGGCTAAAGCTTCAACAAATTTTTGCACTTTTCAAATTGCTGCTCTCTCTCTTTTTCTCTGAGTGTAGAGTGAAGCGAGTGTTGTTGTTGTCATGGCATAAATTTCGTTGGCATAAATCAAAATCCAGCAACTTCCGATGAAGGCAGTGTGCAAAAATTTGCATGGCATGCATTACACACACACACACAGATATATATATATATATAAGGATACACACGCATACAGAATAAACAATAGCTGCTTGGTGGCCATTAGAAATGCACGCTCAAATGGCTGCCGCCCACGCATAACGCTCATACGCAGCGTTTGCCACAGGCCAGAGTAGCACCATAAATAACCAGAACAGAGATAATTATGCATGTCCCTATTGAGTCCTTATTTCAACTACTACTAATTATGTTTGCTAGCAGCTCGAATAGTGTGGCAAGTGCAGCGCTATTTGCAACAGAAACAGTACATTTTAAAATTGCCGTCATTAATTGTGGGCTATTCTTGTTTATGATTTATGCCTATTTTAACTCGCACTTAAATACTTAGACACTCCAGGCAGGCGTTAAAGCAAACGAGTATAATAAATTCGTTATAAATTCGATAATAGTCGAAAGTAGGCAAATCTAAGTTTAGATAGACTTTAACTTTTCCTCAAAAATCCCTGTCTCTATTGTCAAAATCGATCTAAATAAAAGTGCACTTGCATATATTGAAAGACTAAATCTATCGATAATCACGAAATGAGGGCAGTTGTCGATTTAATTAAATAAGCTTGCTCGGCGTATGTTATATGTAACAAATAGTTACAGATACAGATGAATATGACTAAATCGACTAGACTTTTGATGCTGATCATGAATATATATCAAAAGAAATTTCAGTTATTAAGTTGAAGTAAAAGTAGGCGTCTTGTTAGAAATCACACTTGAAAACCAAACTTTTTCTTAGCTGAAAAATTCGACTAGTCATTTAGAGATATTTTTTTCCCTTTTTTTTATAGAAATTTGTATTTTCTTAAGTTGTTGTCTATCAAATATTGTGTTTACTCAACATATAAGAAGTATTAGAGTAAGCTCTCTTGAAGCTTCCCGACTTTACTCGCATATTGTTTTTACTAAAAGTAAGCCCTCCTGACCCTCACAACCCTTTTTCACACCCAGAGTCAAGTGGAATCCATTGCTTAACCAACACGTAGCCGTTGACGGTTCGGAAGGTCGCGCCATGTACGAGAATTCGTGTTCGTATCAAACGGCGCTGGACTTGAAGCGGGTGTCGCCGCCAACGCTGGCCCAAGTGAAGACGGAGGACTGCCTGACACTGGGCCAATGCTCGCCCGACTGGACATCCTATCGCTTCCATCAGTCCACGTTTGAGCAGCTCAAGCAGAGCGTCGAAAAGGCCAAAGCAGCGCTCCAGGATCGCAGCAGTTTCTTTGGCGCCAGCAGCGCCTTCAGGTGGGAACAAAAAACAGCATCTGATTGGAGTTGGCGTTTTATTCTTTCCATATCATTGTATATTTATTTATTCATGCATCTTCAATTTTATTCCACAGCGATATCTACTCAAGTCAGCGACTGACAGACTCGCTGGACACACTGCCCGCCATGCAGAATGGAAGTGGAGCCGGCAATTGTCTCGGCCTGACACACAATGCGGGCGGAGGCGTGGGCGTTGGAGTGGGTGTGGGAGTGGGCGTGGGCGTGGGCGTACTCAACTACAACACGGTGAGCAGCAGCAGCGCAGGCGTGCAACGGCATCGCTTGGACACATTGCAGCCGCCATCGGGCTGCTCACCGGTGGCCACGCAACACGGTGTGATCACGTCCAGCGCCGTCCAGCTGCCAGTCTCCTCCTTGGATGCGGTCAGCTCGCCCACAGTGCCAGCTTCACATTCGGGATCCACAGCCGTCGCGCATGTGGAGCACAAAGTTCGAACAGGTAGGACCAGGAATATATATATTAAAGCTGAAAAGCTGAAAGCGTTCGACGAATACCAGAATCTTTGCTAGCTTGAGAGTTTGTGTTTTTCGAATTAACATGTTTCCAAAACAAGTTTCTCTAGAATACTTCATCTTTTCATAGTCTTGATGTTCTTTGAGGATTGCTTCTCATTGTCAGTTGAGTTAGGTGACTTCTGTTGTTCTGTTGTGACAATGTTTTTGTTTTCAAGACATAGCTGAGTATTCTTCGCTCTTCCGAAAAACGATCCATCAATAAGAAAATATATAAATTTTTCCAAACATATATTTCTGATCTTTCTCAAACTTCCAGCGAGTCTGGATAATACCTCAATGTGTTTGTATAAATCTCTGAAATTGTGTTTAATCTTCCTCTTATGATAATGAGTACCTTCTACTTGAGTTAACTCCTATCCCATATTAACTTATCATTTTTTGTCCTTGGATATTTCTGGCTTTCATCGTTTTTTTCGATTATAGATGCCTAAAAGACATTTGGCTTGTCTGGGACCTGGTTTCTCTGTCCAACTCGATTCTCAGTTGTGTGTTTTCCCTTCCCATTCTCGCCTACTTTTAGAAGTTAGACCCGTAAGAAACCTTTCACTCTAAAGAGATTTTGGCATTCTTAGAGGAATAAAACATATATATTTAAACATATGATATAGAAATACTCCCTCTGCCAAATGACATTCTAGCAGCTTGTTTTCGGCAATGTAACTCGGTTTTTTTTTTCTTTTTGGCTAGTCGCAACCCACTGACCTTCTCGCTGTGGTTCTGCCACCAAATGTCAACGAAATGGCGGAAAAACAAATCCTGCGCTTCCGGTCAAAAGCAAAGCTATAAACCGCCAAAAAAAAGCAAAAAAAGCAACAAAAAAATAACCAAAACAATTGGCTCTTTTACAAAAAGTGGCAAGTTTCGCGTATTTATTTAAACACATCCAAACAGCATATGCTGACCAGCCACCCACACCACCAGCACCACCCACGCAACCACTAACCGAACGCCGAAAATGTTAGCCACAATTTTATGGGCCAAAACAGCGGCAAAAAAGCGAACCATGGTCAGTAAGCGTCATGTACATAATTCTTGTTGTTGTAGCCAAAAAAAGCGAAAGAAAATTATAAAAACCTAAATTGAATTATCCATGTAAACGTCAAGGTCCTTGGGGTCCTTGTCTCCCATATTTGTTTTATTTTATTTATTTTTTTGTGTTTTTCTTTTAGTATTTATCAATTTAAGCCGGCACAACGGATGTGGCTTATAATGCGGCCAGGAGGGAGTCGGGTGAATGGGGGAAGGGAGGTCTCTTGATATAAACATCAAAAATGCAATGTCCAAAGAATATCCATCGCGTGCTTGGCGAGAATTTGTTATGCCGCCTCCGTGCTGGTTGTGTTCTATCTATATATGTATTTATAAAGAAACATATTCCTTTTTCTTGGCTTGTTTTCAATTTTCAATCGAGTATGAGTACGGCAATTGTCGGTTTTGTTAAGCCGGAATTCAATATGACAAGCAAGCAGACGAGTCCTTTTTGCTCAAATGGCTGCTCCCCTTGCTCCTTCCAAAATAACCGACTACAACACACAGCTTGAACGCGCTCAAGCAAATATATGAAATGAATCGTTTTGAGCTGCTTCTCTTTCTTCTCGCTCTTTATGAGTTTTGCTTCTTTTGCTTCTTTTTCTGCTGCCTTCTTCTGCTCTGCTGCTGTCGCATAAAAGGACTTTGTCATGCGTAACTCATTATTTTTTTTTGCTCAAAAGCCTTTGGCTCACAAAAGCACATAAAAGATAATTACACTTCTTCAGCAAGGACTATGTGCACATATACTGTGAGTGTACGGAAAATACCGTCATTACTAACAGCACAGCAAAGATTTCCACGAAATGGAAAAACAATCTAGCTTTCCAATATATACCAAATACAAGTTGGAGATAGCTCTCGAATAGGATACAATCTGAATCCAGCTGTATTTGACCAATGGTTGCTCTTAAATTCCATATCCGTTTAATGAAATTTAGTTGTTCACTAAAATAATCAGGTTTTATTTTATGTCAATTGAAATTGTTAAGAATTGTGTATTTTATTTCATCAGAAATAGTTGCACATCGAGAATCGGTTTTTGAATATATATACTTTATGGGCTTCAATCTGTCAGTTACATTCTCTTGCACAACTTCCCATCTTTTACCCTTCATTGACTTTTATGCAGGCCAAAATGCTGAATGCATATTAGAAAGATTGCTAAAAAACTCACATAAATTCAATAAATTTTTTATTTTCGCCGGCAAACCAATAAAGCTTTGAGCTTATGCGAGGAACATGCCTTTTGCGCTCTTTATATTATAATATTTGACTGTCCTCATGGCCTCAATTATGACACAGTCACGTTCCCAGGCACTCAACTCATACGACCATATCATATATGATATGGTGCATGGATATCAACATGATGATGATCTCTCCTCCAGTTGACATTTCAATTGGTAGCGTTGCGAATTTGACGATGCGCTTATTGTTGTTTACATCAAACAAAGATTTACGGCAATTAAACATTGCTACGGTTGCTGTTGTTGCTGGTTGTTGTTGTTGTTGGTTGCTGGTCGGCTGTCTGAAGTGACAACCCTCGCGATTATATCCTTTGCGGTTCACAGGCTCTGTCCGGAGGGTGGCTGCTGAGCGGCGTTGCGTGTCAGTCTCGGACGACGGCACCACGACTAGCTAAAGGACTCCACACAGTAACCAGCAACAGCGGCAGCAGCGAACTACCAACCATAATTTGGGTAATAAATAAAAACGGGGCAGTTAGGTTTTTGATGCCGAAAGCTGCCGCCGCCGTTGCTGACAATTATCTATGTTTGAGATTTATGACTTGGCCCATTTAGTTTAGGTCCTGGGACCATGCCGAATGGCGAAGCGTGTCGCGCTGAGTGTGCAAATTTCTGCTGCAATTAATATTCCGTTTGTTTTCCGTTTTTTCTCTTGGTTGCAGAGAAATCAACGCTGGACTGTGCCACAACATCCTCGTCGCATGCTGTCGTTGCCTCGTCCTCCTCCGCCGCCGCCGCGTCTGTTTCCAGCAGCGAGCTGGGCAGGCACAGCACTGTGGGCAAGAGCAGCAGCACCAGCAGCAGCAGCCACAACGGAGCTGTTGCCAACAATGCCAGCAATGCACTGTGTAAGTCACACTTTCCACACTTTCTTACCACAAACATTCTTAAGTCTTGCACACATTTGTCAAATGCCCGCTGAGCTTTGACAGCTTTCAGTCAGGACAGCAACCCCGGTGACAAACCAGTTGCAGTCCACGCAACAACAGAGGGCGCTGCTGCGACTGCAAACAGACCACCAGATTTAAGTTTTGCTTGCTTTGGGTGATGTTTGATCTTATATTTCATTTTGATTAATTTTTGACTGGGGTGTATAATGGCAGTGTTATTTTTGCAAGTCCAAAAACAAGTATGAACGACACACATATATTAAATATATATGGATAAATGCCAAGTTTCATCGATAGCTTTAAGACTGAGAGAATATACGGACATGCTATATATACTCGACTCGTCATGCTGATCAAAAATATGTATGTATTTATTTTTATCTGGTTTTACCGTTGATATATAGACTATACCAATCAAGATACTACACTGAAATTGAGCTACCTACTTTAATGTCTCAATTGCAAGCACTACTTGACTTTGATGCCTCTTTCAGTTCAGTTCAGTTGAGACTGGTTCACATAATCTGGTACTTTACTGCACCTCACCCCCGTTGTCAGCAGGACACTCACTGCGACAGTGGGAAAATTGGCAAACAATCGTAAGGCTTTATGTGGAATGTGGACTGTAGTTGATGTCCTTTGCTGCTGCTGCTGCTGCTTTTGCTACTGTAAACATACAAAACGCAACAGTCAAAACAATTGTGAAGGCAGCGTTGATAATTTGACTCTTAAGTGCTCTTCAGCGCTAATCCTATTAAGCGTGTTGCTCACACACTCACACACAGTCTCACACACACACAATGACAGTACACACTCCAGTGAGGAAGCAACCCCTGCTTGGACAGATAGCTCTCATCAGGCAGTCTCTGGTCTCAATCCAAACAACAATGAGGCTAATCGACAGATCATAAAATGATCAAAATGTTATGTGAAGCGCATTAGGGGCACGCGTCGGATAGGGTGAGCAGTAAGGGAAGAGGGATGGTCTTTAAATTATGGAATAGAGGGGTAGCTGGTGCGAGCTGGTGAGAGTGAATTGCAACAACTCGAGAGGCATGGCCAATTGAGCGGTGGCATTTTTGGGTATAGATTAAAAGTGAACAAGATGTGAATTAATTAATTTAAATATTTATTGACTGGATATACATTTCTGAGCTGCAGATGAGAGCTGATATCGATTGTGACTTAATAGATTTACACTTTTACTGGAGGATAAGGAGGATAAGGTACATATATACCTGATGAGGATGACTAACCGAGTCTATGTAGACTGACTAAGCTGACCATATCGGATATTATGTAGGAATTATAGATCGTTGGATGATTTCTTGTATGAAGAACTTTTCTGTTTACCAAGTTATCTCCAGCAAACTCAGCAGTTAAGCGTTCTACTTCCCACTTCTAAAACTTGAACAAAGAATCATTGGCATAGCTGATAGAGATAGTAGATTTAGATATTTATATTATATTCATCTAGCAATATCTGCTGAGCATTAGAACAGAATGGTTATCGAAAGGAATCCCACATTTTCCACAAATATTTCACAGTTAAAGTCTGCAAAGTTCTTAGTTCTAATAAGATATGAATATCTTTGATAGACACATCAACTATTTATTAAGAACAATAATTATATAATTTAGATCGTTAGCTAGTAATTATAGACTCCACTCGGCAACAATTGCAAGTCTTTCATTGCCTAAATATTTAATTATGATTTACAAATTTTAAATGTCAAATTTTGACATTCGCTTATCGCTCGCATCTCTTCGCTCTACGCTTCTCATCATCGAAATGTGTCCAACATAATCTCGCATAATCTGCGAACATTTGAAGGCAACCCACCCCCAAAGACAGCTCAGCGGGTGTTTACCTTGTGCCACGCCCCCACACACACGACGCCCACAAAAACCTGCGCCACGTTGTCGCATTGTCCACATTGTCCACATTGTCCCAATGTTGTGTAACCATACCTCCCCTTCCATCCCCATCCCCTCCACACAATCCACTCCCAGCCCCATTCCTCTGTTGCGCCGTATGTTTTGCTCACTTCAAATTTAATTTCTGATTTCATTTGCGCACAGTTTGTATTTCTCGTTTAACTCTCGTTATATACATTTTTTTTCGTTTCTGCTCTGCCGTAATTGTTTCAGGCTGTGAAAATAAATTGAAAATTTTGCTGCTGCTGCTGCTGCCAACTGGCGCACTTTGCCAACACTGGCGCCAACAGCAGGAGCAGTCTCCTTCTACTGCTTCTTCTTCCTCTTTCGCCTCGTCCTTTTTGTCAGCTTTGCGCGCTGTCGCGTTTTGCTTTCAATTTATGCGCTCATCTTTTAAATGCTTAAATACTCCATTTTTTTTAGCAAACTGCTAACAGAAAACAAAGTTAGAATGCTCGGGTCGAGAGTGCTCGACTTGGAGATACCCCGAACTGCAACAGCTGTTAAAGATAAAGTAGATTTGCTGAGGTTAGTTTGTTCAATATGAAAATATATAAATGAGAGGCCTGGGTACATTTTGTATCATTTAGAAGACAATAATCTTTGCACTTGTGTCTTTTATTGCTATCGGAAATCGATTTATATCGATAATCAGAAAAGGACAGAAGAAGTTATAGTCAACATTTCAAGCCTCAAGCTCAGCTGGTTGATGTTGTTGGTCAAGAATAAACTGGACAGTGAAATAGGTATAAAGGCGACAACTTTTCAATTCTGAAAATCAAATTTAAAGATCAAGTCCAAAATATAATATATTCATTGGTGAATATGGCATGTCAGCATATGTTTCCGGTTTCATTTTTTGGCACATTTCTATAACATTTGTGAGACTTCAGGATACCCATTATGGCAATTTTTAATGGGCTTAGGGTATAAAAAGCAGAAAACATGTATGTATAAGAAAATGACTTGGCCTGGTTCAGAAAAGTTCAAACTTTTTCCCATGCCATCTATGTATATATATATATGTGTGTGTGTGTGTGTGTGTGTATGTGTGATTCCTGTCGATGTCCAAATATTTTTATTCATGGCCCTTTTCGCGGTTCACTTAACTCCCAGTCGTCGTCATTATGGACATCCCCCCCTGGGATTTGTGCACGAGTTGCTCATAAATCAATTCATTGTTGTTATTGTTAGTTGCCCCGCCCCTCTCTTTTTGCCAATGAAGAAGAAAAAGATGCAGATAATGTTGATGATGACGGCAACAAGCTGGAAAATGTGGCTAATTTAGTTTCGCATTGATTTTGAGGCAAGAGATAACAGCAACAAATTTGCCCAAAAGTAATGGCAAACTATTGCAAGCAATTAAAAAGTATGCTAAAAAGGCCGAGATAGGGAGAGACAGAGACACGGAGAGAGAGAGAGAGAGTGTAGGAGAGTAGGAGAGGGAGCGCACTTGCAACAGGTCGCTTCCGCTTGCGGGGCATTGTGATTTATGCCGCTGAAAATGACCCGCTTCCGACATGGAATATCAAAAATCACGCGCAAGTTTAGAGGCGACAACGACAACAACGACTATAAACTCTCTTCTGCTGCTTCTTGTTATTGGTGTTGTTGTTGTTGTTGGTGCTTTTGGTGTTGTTTTTGTCGTTTGCACCTCTACGCCGGAAACGGAGCGCAGCCAGAGCCGGAGGTGGCCGTGTCGAAGCGTCTCCGGTGGCCAAAGCGGCTGCAATTTAGTTGTCAATTGAATTTATGAGGCAACCTTCCCCAATACCCCCCAAACCCCCTCCAATCCCCCAGTCGAGCAGCTCTCGACCAGTTCTCGACCTCAGCAATTTATTGTGTCGCAGTTTTTGATTGCGGCTGCTTCTTTTTTACACACTCTCATCCAAGCAGCCAGACGAAGAGCATATTGATTTTGTGTTTTAGGTATACAGAACTGAAACTTGGTTTGAATCTTGCCACAAATAAAGCATTGAGCTTATAACTGAACATATTAGCAATAGGTAAATATATCTAAATATATAAAATATATAGCACTAATAAATAAGTCTGTTTAATAACCAATTTAACACAGCTTCTGCACATGAAAATAAAGAAAAATATGCTGAAATATGCTAATATAATATAAATGCTAGCGAAGGGTATATGTTGATTCATGACTGTTTTTACCCACTGTACCAACCCCATTCGATAACAAGAAAATCAAATCAATTCCACTTCATATTTTCCAGTCTTAGGCCAAGAATCTGTCTGCGTTTGTCTAAAATGTTGCGAAAATCTATAACTGCCATAGTTTTTGTGTCTTTAAAGGGTCAATTCACACAATTCTCAACAATATTTAAACACATATGTGGCTTTTAAGTTTTAACTTTATAATGTTATCACCTGTTTACAGCCGATATTACACACAGTGTATTAAAAAATCTGTTCAATTGGCAACTGGGCTCGCTTTCGCCAGTATCTCAAGTGACACAACTCAACCGTGAGAGGAGACAGCTCGAGAGAGAGAAGGGTAGTGGGAGAGAGCGTGAGAGTCGCTGTTGGAAAACAAATCGCAAAAAGTCAATCGGGCCAATTGACAGGTCGAGCGAGGGTCGAGCGAGGGTCGAGGGTCGCACGACGAGTCAAACCACGCCGTAATTTATGGCTGCTGCTGCTGCTGCTGCTGGCACGTGAACCTCAACTTCAAACCTCAACCCCTTGCACCTTCCGTAGTTTGTCTGTTAATTGTTTGTTTGCTGTTTGTTGTCAATTTCGGGCCCTTTGAGTTCACAGTTCACAGTTCGCGTTTGGCGTGTGAATATGTTGGCTTTCAAAAAATGCTGTTTGGCATAAGTCAAATGTTCAGTTAACCGACGGTAATCGGAGTCGTGAATCGCACCACACGCACCACGTGCACCACGCGCACCACTCACCCTTCACCACACTCCCTCCCCCTCCCCTACTTGTTCATTTCCATTTCCCAGCAGTTTCAATTGCGCAATTATAGCGCCCATTGTTTAGATAGACACCCAGAA